GCTATTAATATATGGTGGATTTTTGCAGAGGAAGCCATTAAAAGGTTTTCGGGCAGTGGTCCAAAGATAGTCTGTCTCTATATTTTTAGTAGTGCCTGAAGTGGCGATTACAGGACATTGATCTGAATTTAACTCATGCAATACTTCCAGATAAATTGGGATAGAAGTATAGTAGAAATACCCAAGATATTTCCTCTTGTTGGATTATCTGGGAGGAAGGTGTACTCAGTCTGTGCTTAGAAATAAACAGGGTGTTTATTAATAAATTCAAATGACATTTCACCATTAAAATTATACTTACCACTCAGTGTTTTTTTGCATTGAGATCACCTGCAAGTATTACCTGCTTAATCTGTATCCAAAATTTTTGCAACATGCGTTCTTCCAAGGGATTCTGCACTACGGTAAAATAATATCATATGGTAATAGCACAGAAACAGTGAACAGTTCTTGTCCGTTATTCCTATTTTCATTAATCATGCAAGACTGCAGTGAATTTTTAACACAGATGGCGACCGCTGCCACCTCTGTGACTCAGTCTATCGCAATGATAACACTTAAAAGTTAGAAATATTCATTCCAGTGCTTGGTGTAGAATGCGTAGTAAACATAAGACTGACATATCGATCTTATGTTTAATTAAAAAATTAGTGAGTTCATTAAGTTTGTATTGGACACTGCACGCGTTCCACGTCACTAATTTAATAGTGTTCCTGATGGATCTGATTTTTCCCATAATCAGTGTTTAGGAGATTGTATTTCTCTTGATTGGTTTGTGCCAATTTCAGGGTATAAAAAATATTTGAATTCAATAACCACTTGGAAATATGCCATTTGACCAATGACACATAAACAAAACATTTTAGCGTGCGAGGAAAATTGAGATTCTAGTTCAATTCATAAAACGATTATTGTATGTAGCTTGTCTAGAACTATACACGTATTGCAGTGAATAGTGTGTGAAAAGTAATGTATGTGTAAGAAGGAGCATGTGGCTACAGTTCGCAAATAACAGGGAACAACTCCTGAATTCCCACCACTTTTTTATTGATCTATTTTTTCTTCTTCATCATTGATTTCATCTGACCTTTTATATACAGTAAAACCCCGCTTAACGCGGGGGATCCGTTCCATCAAAGTAGAGCGTAATGCGAAACAGCGCTAAACGAGGCTATCTTAATATGTAACTAATGGAGTTAGGGGAAGATGGATAGAAAATTGGTTAGGTATTAAATTTAATGTTTTTTTAATAAAAATAAAACCAAACATTTATTTCTTACAAAAATAAAAACAATGTAAACGAATATATTTATAAAACAATAATTCTAAGCCATTCAGGTCAGATCATTCAGTCTATTCCGTGTTTCCAATTTTCTGCCTTTTTATTTTTTTCAAGAAGGCATTATGATAGATTAGCTTAATGGCATATTGCGTTCAATTTCGTCGTCAATCCATACAGAAAGTCGTTTTTCCACTTCCTCTATAATGTTATTTCTAGAACGGGTAATTCTAGTTGCAGAACTTGACGTAGTTGCAGTTGCCGATGACAGTATTTTTTCTTTATTCTTAAGGTATCTGTCTACGTTCGGAGCACTTTTTTTTAAAAACATAGAATTCTGATGAAATATATATTTATTAGTCAAAATATGATATCAATCATGAAATAGTAATTTTTAGGAATATTTTTATAAATTTTTGAAATATATGCAATTTTATGCAAATTTTTAGGAGAATTTAACACTTACGTTAAATGTCATATGTTTTTTCTCACAGCATATATTTAAATTTTTTTTTTTATACTGTATACTACTACAACACTTATCTGTGTTATGAACTAAAATGTATATGATATTCTAAATTTACTAAAATAAAATATGTGTAATTACATGAAAAAACCACGTTTTTTGTAAAATATTTCTTATCGTTTTATATAGAAATACTTATAAAACAATCAAATTAATAAATATCACTTAGATTGTAGCTTAAAACCTAATAAATAATATAGAAAACATTTTAGTGAAATTTAATAGAGATATCTTTAGAACATTTTGAGTAATTACATTTCTTGTATGTAAAAACACTAGAAAAATTAGTTTTTCAGAAACGCATTTAAAGATTTCACATTAACAGAAAAACTGTTCTGTTGTATTTACACACTTAAAATTCTCCACATTTGTACATCACACCCTCCATATCTTTATACTTAAGTAATTTTGATTTCCTATTTGATTTTAATTTTTTTCTGGCTATTTTCGAAATGAGCGACGAATGAATTTTCGAGTTCTTTATTCTTTCGTTATCAATTCCAAAGTAATTTTTAATCATTTCTTGTTCAATTGATATGCCTAAATGTTCAAACACAGGAAGTAATCCAAGATACCCTGAATTAAAACTTAAAACGGCTATATATGCACCCAGCAACATAGTCTTTATACCTAATCGCAATGTTGCCAACCCCAGTTAAAAAAACCGCAATGTTGCCAGTCCCAGTTCAAAGAATTAAGGCAAATAATTATTGCCAGAAACAAACAAAAAAAAAAAAAAAAAAGTACCCAAAATTAAAATGATATGTTTTAGCACAATTTTACACACAAACAGTTAAAAAAAAACACGGATAACAACATTGTTTACCTTTAAGTTAAGCCTTTTAAATGGCACTTCCGGTCTTTCTGCTTTCACTACCAGTGCAGTTAATTGGCTATACCTTCTCTTCTAATTATCACAAACGTAAAAATGAACCATTTTCGGAATTTTACAAAATTGACCTTTCAAATTGGGCAATAAAAAAAAAAAATCGAATTTTTTCGCCGAAATCGTTTTTTTAACGTAGGCCTTAAGAATTGTCCTTATTGTTGAAGTTGCCAAATTCAATGCAGCACTAATTTGAGATTGACGCTTACGAGAATCTAATCTGCTAATCACTTGCATTTTAGTTTCCAGTGAAATGCTTTTTCTGGTTGCTTTCTTTTCTTGTTTTTTATTATCACCCATGATAAAAACTAAAGATCATAATATTTGTCACTGTATTAATCGTTATAGTATTATGTAAATTTATACTTACAATAATGTCAACAAATGTTTCAAATGATAAAAATGCTTCCGTACAGCACCTCACCGCACCAAACAAGAAACATAACTACAAAGTTTCGGATATGTTATTTGGAAACCTACCGCTGCGCACAATTTCGAGGAATTCCCGTAGTTCATGCTGCGAGCAATTTCGGGGAATCCCGAGGTTGAAATAAAAGAGCGCTAAACCGAAACAGCGTTAAGCGGGGTCTTACTGTACTCAATATATCAGGTCTATAATTATAAAATATTATCACCTCACAGGCTATCCATGGCTAAATCAGTTAAACATGTAATAATTAAATATCATTTTCTCAAATATTACAGGCACACATCCAGTGTCTGTTTATGCAGCAGTTTTATGCAATAGTTGCACAGGGTGGTATGTTCCAAGTCTAAAGGGCCGTTACCAATGGGGTTTATCTGAGCTAATGGAGTCAGTTTCATGTGTCGACTAGCTCTGCTGTGCCTGCAGTTCAGATTTTTCAACTTGCTGCCTTATTGGGAAAAACAGGTTTTGGAGATGGGTCGGCTACAGCAGTTGTCTCTGTTATCTGAGATAAACTCCAGTGGGAATGAGCCTTAAAAGATTTTTTAAACCGTGTACTTTAACTGGTTTGTTTACTCCTGTACAATTTATCTATATATTAAAAGTTATTTGTGTAATAAATATGGCTTTGATATCTGCTATTTTCTACAATGTTACACATTTAATGTCTGTTGGTGTATTATCATTAAAACAGACAGTAATGTTAACTGGAAAAAATTGAAATGACTGTAGAAAAACTACAAATTGGAGAAAAGGCAATTAACATTTTCTTTTAATATTTGATCTAAGAAATGTCCCTTTGTTGTTCAAATTCATCTACTTCATTCTGCAGGGTAATTCTTATACTGTGCAATTAATAGTCATATGGTTCAAGCATTAAATGTTGATATCACTAAAACGTGTGCTGAAGGAATGTTTTGAACACACTTCTCAAATGTACACATATGTAATATTATTATTAATTCATTTGTAGTAAATCATTAACAGAAATTTCAATTCTTTGATGAAACAGTTTACCTAACTTGTTAGGATTTACGCACCTTTGTAACACATATACATTTTCATGTCATTTTGCATATTTCCTAATTAATACTTTTTCTTTCACTTTATTCGTCATTTCCTGAAAACTATTGTTCCTGTTTGGTGTTTATTATTAATTTTTCTATAACATACGTTTAGATTTTTTTTTCTCAGAATTTTACCTCATTTTATGTTACAAATAGGCATTATTTCAATAAGTTTGGAAGATTCATATCTTGAGTTCAGATCTTCACTTTATTGATGTCATTAACTATGTCTTCAAAGATATCCCTACTACTATGATGGTGAAAACTTGCAGTGTCTTATCATAATGTCAAGTTTAATTTTCATCTGTTAAACTCTGATTAACATCATCCAAGATAGTCTGGTATTTATAAGTAACATACTGAGGTAACCAAGTTTCATGCATATATATAATTATTTTAGATTTGGATATATTGCTAATGTTTACGTCAGGAGTGTATAGCTATTTTGTAATTGAAAGCATCTTCTTTTTTTAATTGCAATCTGTTGGTGTGGGGGGAATATAAAATAAAATTATGTAAAGTGTCATGCATGTATTTCACATAAACAGAATTAATTTTGTTTTGGATATATTGCTATGTTTATTTTTAGTTGCAATATACTGGTATATGGGAAAAGTATAAATAAAAATTATGTAATGAATGAGTGGTCAATGCCATTGATGACACCGTGTTTTTTTAATTTTTTGCATTATCTATCATATAGTAAAGGTTATAAATACTGCATTCATATTTTTTATACTATAAAATTCTATTGGCTTATGAACTTTGAACTATGTAAAGAAATCTCTCAGATAACTGTTAATCAATAATACAAATTCTTTCATGCAGATGTATTATTTATACAATAACTATTTAACATGAATTAAACAATAATTAAAATTATTAATTCATTATGTCAACTTTGTCTAAAAATAACATAATCATTTCCACATTTTGGGATGCTTTATATTTTTCCTGTTATTTGCATAACTTAGTGTGCAGCCGATGCCCACATCCAAAACGAACGTTCATTGGTTTCTGATACTTTACTGGTGACTAGATAATGTTCCAATTTGTCTTCACATACCTTTTCAAAAGACAGGCATCATTAGAAGTTGCTTTATATTTTCAAATAATCAAAAACAATACTATTTTTCAGAATTTTAGTTATTAATGTAAATGCATTTTACATTACCATGCACTATTGCATTTTATAATTTCAGAAAATATAGACATACCAATGAAATATTAAAACATTAACCTCTTCTTCTAACAAAAATTATTATAAAGCAAATAAAAAACATCTTTTCATCTCAAGCTCCCGTTCTCCAAAAACTGAATAAAATCTCCTCTGTTATTTCACCATTTCTGATATTTTATACGAAACATTCGGCAGTATTCTGAAGTCCAATTATAAATACTTATGTTCTGGTAATGAAATTTCCTGTATATCATTATATATTTTGTTCAACGAAATTTCTCTTCCTAGCAAACATCCGTTGTCGAAATAAATTACTTCAAGTTTTTATGTCTGAAGAGCTCTGTGTTCTACATTCTTCGATAGCTATAGCTTTTAACTGCTTATTATTAATTTGGAATTGTATATGCATACAAAGTTTATTTTGTTTTATCCAGCAACCAATAAATTAACTTCTACAACATTTTCCAGAATACGTTTTCATCTCGCAAGCAATTGTGTTATCACATCACCTAACAAGCGATGCTATTAGGTACCAGTCATTCAGCCAATAGTTATTCAGCATTTTCTCTATAGGGGTATTGCGAGTACGTGTTAGGAATATGCATCTCGGATTACGTAGAACTATCCTTGCTTATCTATCATCTTTACCAGACTTCAAAAATTGATAAATACTAACTCTACCATTTCTCCTACCCAATTTGGATTCCATGGAAAACATTCTACTACTTATCAAATTCTTCGCATTATCAAACACATCCACATAAGTTTTAATAATAAAGAATGTGCAGTTGGCTGCTTACTCGACATCAAAAAAATGCCTCCGAGAAAGTATGGCATTCTGAAACTATCCACAAAATGATAAATTGTAATTTTTTTACTTACCTCATGAAAATCATCAATAGTTCTCTCCAAAGTAAAAAGTTCATGAGTAAAATCTGGAACTCTTTCTCCTTTTAATTCAGTTCAAGCTGATGTTCCACAAGGTTTTGTCCTTTCAGCTCATCTCTTTAATAATTTTATTAATGATATGTCTAATCCTCATCATACTCTTCTTGCCAAATCTGCAGATGACACAACTCTGTTATGCAGGTCATGCATGCCAGACGTAAATAACATCTGAATCAAAGTACAGAAAGCTTTCGTGGCAGTTTATCCCTTACTAAAAATAAACTTTCACCTAAGCATTGAAAATAAAAGAGTTATTTCTCTAAGTATGATGACCCTGTCATTCTGTATGAAGCCCCAGAAAGGGTTGGTAGTCCAAATCGAAACCAAAAGAAGTTACAATAAAATAAGTTTCTTCACATCATCTCTCATGTCCCAAGGTTTTTACGAAACAGTATCATCCATGCTGACCTCAAGATCACGACCACTGAATAGGAGCTTTCTAAGACTTGCCGAAAATCATTTCACAACCCTGCCCATGTCTAGCTCAGCTGAAATTTTGGAGATTTTAAATTACGACCACACAGATATGCAGAGGTACAAACGACCTTGCACTGTACATCAAGACTCAACCTGAAGTCTGGAAACTACCCTGCATTTTACTTTCCTCCCCACTCTCTTAGCACAACACATAAAGTTCTCACCTCCGAATTGTCAGATCCAGAGTTCGAGTCCCACTTTTTCTCTGATTTGTATCATATTTTTACTTATGCATATTTAAACAAGCTTATTCCTACGTACAACTAGTTATCCAAGATTCTTTTATGTCTGCATTATGTTTTTGTAAATGCTGTAAAGTCTTACTATCAAAAATTTTTACATCTTTCTCAACTGCAATTTTAAATTTAAGCAAAGACTACAGTTTATCATCTCAGAATGATTTTTATGATTAATCTTTGGCTTTTACGTGGCTTTATGCTTCATCCTTTTTATCCAAAGTACCCCCGATTCAATTTTCCAAGATGATCTCGTTAAAGCCACAAGGCTAAAGTTGGACATGCAACTAAGATAATGGTATTATTGCTTGCAAGCTGACGCATAGGTCCAACATGCTTCTTTCTTAGAAATTTTGGTATGACTCGAGGATTGCATTTTATGCTAATTTTGGTTGTCTATTTGCATTTGGTGGAGCAATGTTTACCTCATGTGTTAACTGTGTGTTTTAATTCCCCTCTTTACATTCGTAACTTTTCTTTTAGCGTTTGAAGCTTATTTTTTTTAACTCGAGTGTATTATGTCATTTATTTCAATGAATTTATCAATTTCAATAACATTTCTTTTACTTACACAAAATAATTTCCTATTTGTGCATACATTTTACATTGCTACCATCAATCAGAAGTCTTTAAATCATAGTTTGAAAATAAATAAATAAAAAACTGGGGAAGGGGATGAATATGAGAGTAAATACAGTATACCTTTATATATATCATAGTAACTGCCTAGGTCATCTGTGCTTCAATCTGGCCCTCCCCTTTACATAAAATAAAAAATAATATGTGAGAAATGTGAGCTATTATTTGTTTAACAGGGCATAATTTAAACTCCTATTACAAAGAAACGATATACATAATGTGAAGTTATTTGCATTAAATATAAAAGAAAGAACTGTCAGTATGAAAGAAAAGGCCTTTGTTTAATTCATGTCAACAATTACTTCTATCAAACCAGTGGAGAGCTATGAAGATTTGAAGAAAGGATTCACACATTATCCTATAAAGACAAAATGTCTTTTCTAATAATATGTTTTACTTTTGACAGCAACAAAAAAGAAGAAAACAAAATGTAAGAAAAGAAATCATTTTTAAATTAAAACATCACAAAATTTTAGAGATTATAATTGATGTTTGATACTAATAATCATGAATGACCAGTCTTAAAAATTCCAACTTACAAGTTAATTAATAAAACACTTATATTGATCATTCAATGTAAAATGCTTCCATAGAGCTCGATGACTTCTCCAAATAGCAAGAGTATAAACTGCATGCCCTGATGTTCCAAAAACACAGTCAATTTTTCTTTCAACACATTGATCTTTACTAAGGTTATTTAATTTTTGTTGATTTTGGCTGAGGATTTGAGAAATTATAAACATGTGCTAAATATAGCAGTTCATTTAAATTCAAAGATCATTTAGCATTACATGTGCTTATTTACTCTCACGAAAATGTTTATGCAATAAATAATTTGCATGCATGAGTGAATTAGCTAAGGAGTTTATTAAAAAATGCAGCCTTTGCAAGGATATCTCTCATATACAGTCAAAAGTCGTTAATTCGGACACCTATAATTCGGAATGATCTATAATCCGGACCTCAAAACTAAAAACTTTCTGCGCATGCGCCGCGTTGACACATGCGCATAGGCGTTTACGCGTGCGCGTAAGAATCTTTTACGACTGCGCATATGAGTGTGCTCAAGTGCAGAATACGTTTTCGCGTGCGCGTTTTATGTATAATGGATGTATAAGCTAAAATTATCTAATTATCTATTTCAGTTAATGTTGATGATTGCGTTGTTCCTTAATTTTCGAATTGGATCCGGCTTATTATTTTTTGCAGACTGTAAGAGCAATTTTATAAAAGTAAGCTTAAACTTTCGATTATATCAAATAGAATTTCCGATATATATTTGTTAATATGTAAAGGATCTAAAGCGAAAGTATGTTTTGAAATCCGAAATCTGTTTATCAATTCCACGCTGCTGCTCGGCGGGGGGAACGGCGCAGCGGGCGCGTAATGAATTGGAAGTTGATCTGTCAGCACTATCCTTATCTTCAGGGCAGATGTTTTTTATTTTATTTGGCTTATAATTCCTTACCAAATTAGTATTTCATCTCGATGTGCTCCGTCTTTGATATGAAAACAAGTTCCTCGTCATTATAATTCGCTTCCGATAGCGAAGAAAGTGACAGAGGTTAGTGAAAACGAAAAAATTTCGATTGACAAATTAGTGGTGTATTCTCGACACAGCAATTATAGGACTTGAACAGCGGGAACTTTGTAACTGAACAAGAAATTATGTCTGTTTAATAGAATTAAAGAGAAAGTATTATCACATGAAACGAAGCAAAACTTAAACCACTTACATTGAAAGAAATGTTTAATAAAGTAAACAAATAAATATTAAGCTTTTTCTTTTTGCAAATTTTGATACCCTTTAGATCATAATTGTTCTTTATTTCATAAATTACGGTTTCATATTTTTAATTTTAGAATTTCTGCATACCATCTTACGAGATTTAAATTGATGATCTATAATCCAGAAAAATCGATAATCCGGAATCGCCGAAGTCCCGACGAGTCCGGATTAACGACTTTTGACTGTATAATCTTCAAATGTTTCCCACTGCATGACTTTTGTTCTTGTGAAACTTCAGCTGAACCACACTTTTTTATACTAATCACCATAATGCCATTTCTTTCAAACTGTAAATACAAATAAGAAAATATCTAGAATTACAAAATAAACTTACTTTTAAGTTCTGAAATTTTATTTGAACTTTCAAAATTGAACACAACGTAAAACAAACAATTAAAGTCAAGAAATTATCGAGTTGGTGTAGACTTTTACCTTTTGATTTGTAAAAAAATCGGAAGATTGCCCCAGGCTGGTTGCATTAATACTTAATACCTTATATTTAATTTAATTAACTTATATCTTAACATATAGTCTTCACTGATACTAAAAGGTTATCTCCTCAGACTTTTCCAGCATGTTATTAAAACCAAGAATAAGGAACACTATTTTTAGCTTCACACTAGCTTCATATTTCACTCTACAAATTAGAATGTTAGTGCCCATTGTAGCAAAGAAAATTTTTACTATGATGAATATTTAACCATGTTTCTAAGTGTGACAGAAACAAAACAACACTAATAACTTTTAAGTCCGTAATTAGTCAAGCTTCTCATCCAACATGTTAACGCATTAAAAGCCCCGTTTCCATTAGTGCGTTACCAACACGAACATTATGCAGACGAACGATCGTTTACACCATTGCGCTGGATCAGGGGCGTAGCTAGAGGGGAACATTTGTCCCCGGGCGCAGAATCTAAGAGGCGCCAAACTGATGTTACGACATTTTAGAATTAAATGTTTTCCATCCTTGGCAAGCAGTAGGGGGCGCGAAATCTTCAGTTGTCCCTGGGCGCTGAAAACCCTAGCTATGACTCTGCGCTGGATTTATGCTTACGGAAGTTCGGTCAAAGAATATGTATTGACTAGACTTTCTTTGGTTCGGTGATCAATTGCATTCATTGCCACTAGATGTCTCTCATTTAACTTACGAGTTTCGGACTCTAAAAATACTTAAATTCGATGCTGTTGGAAAGTTTTAGTTCTGCTTATGAACTGTGAAAGTAAAGCAAGTTAGCAGTTTTTAGATAAGTAAAGTTACAATGCATATTATGAACATGTCTAATTGCATAGAAGCCGGAGTAATCTTAAAAATTTCTTTGCATTTCTAGAAGCCTTAAATATTAATGAAATAATATATAATTAAAACTGAAATGTACTGTTACTGCAAAACAAACAAACAAAAAAAAAGTTATAAACACATTTAAAAATAGCTGGTACCTTAAATATACAGAGCAACTGTAAAGAAAAGTTCACAATATTTACACAAAATTTGCTATGCTTGCATACTGCTGGCTGCTATGTAAGATTGTATATTTTTAAAATGTGTGCAAATTTGGGAAGAAAACAGATACAGTACAAAGTCTAAAATCTGGAATGATCTATAATCCGGACCTCAAAGCTACAAACTTTACGCGCATAATGCGTTTACGCATGCGCGTTTAATGTATAACGGACGGTATAAGCTAGGCTAAAATTATCTAAGGCATTTCTATGTCACGAACAGACACTTGTCAGATTGCGCGAAACCAGCCTCTCCTTGGTATTTCTCCCCTTGTGACGCATGGTCACCTCCTCTCACCTACCTCCGATGCCTCCTTGGCCCGTCCTGTTTTTACCGTCATGTGCCCATACGGCTAATTCTATCATTGAGCAGGACACGTCTCTGCGATACCGGTATGACTGACTGACTGACTAAGGCATTTCAGTTAATGTTGCAGATTGCGCTGTTCCTTAATCTTCTATTTGGATCCGGCTTATTATTTTTTGAAGACTGTTAGAACAATTTTATAAAAACTAAGCCTTGAACTTTCGATTATGTCAAAAAGAGTTTTCCAATTCTGGAGCTGCCAAAGGATCTTACAAAGCGAAAGCATGTTTTGATGTCCATTAAACAAAAAGTGGAATTACTGCAAAAAATGGATAAAGGCCTATTCGTTTCAAAATAACGCGAGAAGTATGGCATTGGAAAGTCCACTATATATGACACAAGCAAAAGGAGCTTTTTGAATTTTTTAAGGAAGCATCTTAAACAACTTATATTGAAAGAAATGTTTAATAAAGTAAACAAACAAATACTAAGCTCTTTTTTTTTTTTTTTTTTTTTTTTTGTAAATTTTGATACCCTTTAGATCATAATTGTTCTTTATTTCATAAATTACGAATTCATATTTTTAATTGTATAATTTCTGCATGCCATCTTACCAGATTTAAATTGATGATCTATAATCCGGAAAAACCCCTAATCTGGAATCGCCGAAGTGCAGACGAGTCCGGATTACGGACTTTGTACTGCTGTATATAAAATTTTAGCATCAGTTTCTTCAGTGTCATAGCTGGATAATTTATTAGAAATCTCATTTGTTTTAAAGTGCACTATGCACAGTTATATTTTATGCATAATCCATAAAATATTATTTGTAATTTATAAATTTTTAATTCATAGATTTTTACAGACGAATTTATAAAGATAAACTTTTTTCCCTTTATATATGCATACATACCTAAGGTAAATAAAATGGAAATATTTAATTTATTATATCCTGTGCTTCAGCTGGAGAGGACTGAATTTTAAAGAAATTATTATAATAAGTTTTTTAAAAAATGTTCAGGGTATTAATACTGCCTCATGTTGACTGGTATTGAAAGTTTAGAGCTAGAAACATCCCAAAGTCTCATCACATACATTCACACAAAAGTGAAACGAAAAAAAAAATTTATATATATACAGGAAGTATACTTTAAATTCGCGTTATATTATAATAAATAAATTCTTGAGGGGAAAATTTAACTAAATAAGAGCATAAATAAAATATTATATTTTATGCACACAATAATAGAAATAAATTTTAAAACACAAATATAGATCAAATTGGAACACAGAACTAAGAAAGTTGCAAACGAGGTGGAAAAAGAGTATAAGATTCGAACTCACGACCTTAAAAGTCAAACTTTGCTACCCTCAGCTTTAACACTATAGGATATTTGCTAAATAGTTTTCTACAGAAAGATATACGCATGGCCAGGGTTAAAGTATATGTGTTATCCTTAGTTGTTATAATAGTGTTCATATTTTCAAATTAAATACTGTCAAAATAATGATTTTAAAGTGTGCTATACAAAAGTGTGTTTCTTAATTTTTTTTAAACTGAAATAACCTAGCACATTTCTTTTTGATGCTTTCTATTACAAAAAATAAATGCTACATATTTGCAGAAACATATATGTGAAAATGTTGGCTTTTGGCCCCTGGGAAAATAAATTTACTGTTCTTACAACATACAATATTATATATATTCTTCAGAGTAGATACCATTAAGAAAAATTTGTAAAGTCTCTCATTTCATTTCACTTTTTCTGCACTGGAACAATTAAACTCAATTTCTGCACTGGATATATTTCTTATATCCTGGAAAGTTTCAGAATGGACAAATGGGCTGATGACAAAAATATGCGTCTTTCACTGGAAGAAATATGGTACATCTTATGATATAGTGGAAAGAGAGTGCATTTTTCGTTTTTAATGCAACTCCACCAGCAGCCAAGCAGGATGACCCTAAGCTGGGTAGTCCAATATAAACTCTGAAATTCTTCGTCATGTGTCAGCTACTGTCAAGCCTGATTCAGAAGTAATTCAGTATATATGCCAGTTTCTAATTCTCTTGTGTATGTTAATGCCTGATGTTTGTTGAAGAGACAATTTTTCATATATAGTTGACAGTAAATAAAAGTTCCTACGAAAAGACACTGCATGACTAAGGAACAACTAATTTATGCAAATTTTCATTCCTTACAGAAATACAATCAGAGGAAAAATAACCACAAAGGATGTTGTAGGGAAAGATCTTAATCATATGAAAGGCAGAGCAAGCATGTTGCTTTCTTATTCATAACTAACAGCAGTAATGTTTGAGAGAAAAATATCATAAGTTTCTTGAAATATTATTCTAAATTTTAATTTT